GAAACTCTCCAATATCCAGTCAGAGCCAAAGGAATAAAAGACTGGCGAAGAAACAAAGAAACACAAGAGCTTGTTGATATCGAGGCAAAGAGAATTGAAGACCTACGCATGTTCTCTCGCTTCCACAAACCAACTAAAATAACATGTCAGTCTCACACAGTTGCAAACCAACTGGACAAAACAATCAGACATATGGTGCCCACTCAGAGATTACTTATACAGAGTAAAGAGATGGCAGCAAAAATGACCCAGCAAAGGATTCAAAGCCAGTCTCCAGTTAGACAAATTCAAAAGCAAGGACAGAATCTGTCAAAAAGCATGCCACAGTTAGATATTCCCATAAGAAAACAAAGCACAGAGGTGTACCAAAATCAGAAAACCTGCTCTCGGAATCATGCACAGGAAAACACTTTATCCTTTCAGTCTAGGCATCACCCGACAACTACAGAAGTGGCCATATGCCATAAAATGGACAGACAGGATGCACTGATGAATAGGACTGGACGGAAACAACATTATGAATCAAACAAGACTAATGTTATACGTAATGCTAATATACAAGATCAAGTCAACACTTACCAGTCCCGCCAAAAGGGTTTTCATAGAATCAAGCAAAATCTAATTTTAGAAGAAGCACCTCCATGTTACTCATTGAGTTCCTCCCTTAGCTCTTTGAGTGATGCAGAATGTGAGGAACATCATGAAAAACCTCAGCATACGTGGATAAGGAATAGACATTATAAAACATCCAACCTTCAGTGCCCTCCTAAATCACAGCAAGACCTCAACCAGCTTGAAGAGAACAGCTCACCAAGCTCAGTCAGCATGGATTCAGAAGATGATCTTTTGATAAAATGCATAACATCTGCTATGCCTCAACACAAAAAAAAGCAGACTGCCAGAAAAAGGAAAGCTGAGAAAAAGCACAAACAGAAAACTACACTTCAGAAAACAACAGAGGATTGGAGCCCTGAAATTGACCTAGACAGTGATGAAATGGCATCCGACAAAGACTCTGATCTCAATAGTGTTGAATGGAGAGCAATACAAGAAGGAGCAAATACAATCATTACCAAATTACAAGCTTCAAAGTCCCAAGAACCTTCATCAGAGTCTGAATCCGTTCTGTCATTTATGTCTGATTCAAGCTTTACTCCTAAAGAAAAGAAGGTATACAAAGATGACAAAAAGGCTAATAAACCACTTGATTTTGCCCCTCGTAAACCTGTTCCAAACATGCCTATGGTCTTTAGGGGTAGAACGGTGATATACACACCCAAGAAAGAGACAACTCTCTCTCAAAGACCACCACCTAAAAAAAATATACCAAAAGCAGATGCCCCTAAAAATCCAAATTTAGCTCAACACAGGTCAAGAAGTCTTCACAGACTGGGCAACCCCATAGACACTCAGTTGTCATTGCCCAAAAGAAGCTCAACACCACCTGCCAGGATACCAAAGAGCTCATCTTCAGGATCATCTCAAAGTTCAACACCTTCCAGGCAACCTCAGAAAAAAGTAACCTCCCCAACACAAACCATTAAACAAGGTCAAAAAAAGGTGGCATCAGCACCATGCAGTCCACCGGACAAGAGCACTTCAAACACCAATCAATATTCTAAATCTCCTATTGACAGAAAAACACAGAAATCCCCTGTCAGAATACCATTTATGCAGAATCCATCCAGGCAAACAAGAAACATTTCACCTTTAGTAACCAGCCAGCCCAGTAGCATCAGCAGACAAAATACACAGATGTCAGGGAAAAGAATCCTACCAGCAAACCGGTTGGATTTGGTTCGCATGACATCTACTCATTCAAGTAGTGGTGAATCAGATCGTAATGGCTTTCTCAGACAATTGACATTCATCAAAGAATCGCCAAAAGTCTCAAGACGTGATGCTTCTTCACGTTCTGTCCCAACATCACAACATGTCTCACCTCGAAGAGCAGGTCCAGGGGCCCCAGCAGTTTTCTTATGTTCTTCTCGTTGTCAGGAGCTCAAGGAAGCAGTTCAAGGTCCTAGAAGAATGCCTTTGACTCAAGGACAAAGCCAAGTTCAGGAACAGGGGGTTCTCAGACAGGGCATGGCTCTATCAAGAGCCACCTCCATTGATAGAGACGTTGATGTGAAACGTCCAGCTAGGCGAACAAGCTCAGAAAGTCCTCACAGGGCCTCACAGAGAAATAGACCTGGACCAAAGCCAAGAGAAAAAAGGGATGATACCTTCAAAAGATATTCTTCCTCACCAAGCATAAATGTCTTGAGTCGTGTCACCAGCCGCTCCTCTCTTCGCTCTTCATCCTCTGATTCAAGTGGACGAGCTAAAAGTGAAAGGAACACAAATCAGAGGCAGCAGAGGGTTGGATCACGTAATGCTGACAAAGTGACCTGGAGAAGGATTCGTGATGAGGATGTTCCCCAGATATTAAAGAGCACCCTTCCACCCACTGCATTGCCTCTGTTACCTTCACCTGATGGCACCAAACAGATGCCACCACCACTACCAGGAAAACTGCCTACTATTACACTGGCATCACGGAAAACAAGTGACGCAACTGTTCAAACTGAGGACTGCTCAGCCAACAAAATTAACTCAAGCACCTCTCCCACAATTGAAAAAGGTCTTAGCATTGCCGAGGACGCCACAAAGATGGCCCTTGCCAGAAAATTAAGCATGGCCTTTGGGAATACCCTCCAAGATGGGGATTCAGATGGATCTCTAAAAAACTACAGCACAGCATCATCCTCCACCTTTCAGTCAGCGGATAGTACCCACAGTGGTGGTGTTGGCCATTTCCGACAGAGCTCCCCTAGTAAAGCCGTCAGAGTTACTCCTTTCAACTACATCCCCAGCCCCATGGTCTGTTGCTCTCCACAGACACAGGGTCAAGCAACGACAATGCCTGAAAAGACAGGGGAAAAACATGAAGCATAAAACCTGTAATCTGTCCATCTGTTCCATCCTTGAAAAAGTACTATGCTCCTGATGCTGTAAAAACTCAGGTGGTAATGGATATTGTTCTCTTCACCTCAGATATTTAATGAGTCTTGTGCTTGCCAATGCATCAGAAGATTTACTTATTTGAAGAAAAAAGAAAAAAAGAAAGAAAGAAATTATTTGGATGTGAACAATTAGCCATAAACTATAGAATCTCACTGGATTCACAACATGTACCTAACCACACCACAAGGTTGAGGGTATAACTTCTTTTTTTTATATTTTTGTACAGTGATATTAATCATTGCTTGTGCTACTTGGATAATTAATCAGACATGAGAAAGACTGCCTCGGAGTGTGTTATCCACTAATAAAAATTATGGCCCACATTCAGAACAATATGCAAACTATATTCTCCGAAAAACAGTGACAAATACTTTAAAAGACCATGTGCCACCTGCAAACCGGAAAAGACTGTTGTATTCTCACATGAGAACCATGTATGCACATGCCTTTACGCCACACTGACAGGTTAAACAGCCTTTTGCCTTCACTTATTATTATTGCAGGTAAATATTGCTACAATAGGTAAAATCTGCACAAAATGTCTATGTAATCGTCATGGATATTTAGTGATACTGTTGTAAATACTGACTTAAAACTGTAGTCTAATGCTTCCCAGAAGGCAAATTGTAATCCTGCCATTGCTACAAATAGCATGCTCACTTGTCCACTGTAAACACGTGATGTTGATTTTGCAGTTTCTTTTTTCAATGGAAATGTCAGACTATGAGTACAACCATGAATCTCCACCCACACATTTGCATTTTTGAATATAAGATTGTTGTAACTGTCGAGTGTTCAGCAAATGTAATACAATTAAGTGGCTGTACATATTCCTGCTCACTGAATGCTTTCATAATGTCATATTGTGTACAGTTACGTTATGCTTTAAGTATTTAAAAGCAAGCTAATGAGTAGCAACTTTGTGGTTTGAGATAAATACTTGCTATTAACAGTTAGTGGGACTGATGTAGAATGTTTAAAATGGCTTCCATTCAACCAAAGCCTATTGCCAAAACTGCACACAAGCAAATATTGTGTTAGCCAGCACAAAAAGTGTTTGTCTTATTTGGTGAGGTGCAGTATTTACATGGACTTAGTTTTACTGTGATATAACAGCTTCACTTAATTTGTCTCTTTTAGTCAGAAAACATGCATTCTGTCTTAAAAGCAAAGTCATTGATCACACATCAGCCTTTGGAAATTCTGAGAATGATAAAGAGAAGTGTATTTCAGAATCAGATGTGCTGTGAGTGCTGATACAAACTGGTGTTCCCAGATTAAAGACGTAATGTCTGACTATATCTGAAGATATTGAAATTGACCAGTAACAGAGCTCAGTGTAATGACCCATAACGGTGGTGGTCCAGATAAATAATCATGATGCAATGCTAAACTCAAATTGACAATTAGGGATAGCATTATGGATATTTGAGAGGTAAAAGCATGAATTGGGTTGAGAATGTTCATAGAATATTGTGTAGACTAACAGTTAAACAGTTGTGGCTAGGGGTAAGGGGTCATCAAATAAACCTTCTCATAAAAATGTGTATGTACTTTATTTTTTCCGAGTCAAACTCTGATTTATTCAATGGTAAATACTTGCATCCAACTAAATATGCACAGACATCAAAGTCATTTGACCTTACCTTTAAGTACAATGACTTCCAAACATTGCTGTGTTTGAACATTCTCACAACACGTAAGTTTGGGTCAGGACTACCTTATTTCTGACCATTGCATACAGGGTAACACATACCCCAACTAATTGCCTACTGCTTAAATTATCCTTAGTTTATATACAATACTATATCATTTAATTCCCTAACTTTTACCAAGCCAAACTTTTGTATGTGCTGTTTTTTTCTTACATCTTTCATTATTAACTAGATTGCTAATAAACCTAAATGAAATTTCTGTTCAGTAACAAAAAAAAGTGGACCAATAAATGTTACAACTGAAAACCCTTATCACAAATGTGTTAACACAATCAGTTCATTGATTGATGAATATGAATTTATTTATCAGTTAATTCATGCAGATGTGATGCTAATGCTTGAGTAAATTAGTCATTTGAAACCATTAATCTCAGCTTGAGAAACAATGAGCTAATGCCAAAAAATTACACACTTTACGCCTTAAGGGTGGTGCGATCTTTACCTCATAAACATTTTAAACTGAATGATTGTACATGTACAAAGAACCTTAGGCTATTTAAGACAACTTATTTAATGCAAATGCAAATTAAGCTGTGAAGAATAGATGTACAGTTACCAATATGCTCACCAGGTTGTACTGTCTGTAGTGTACTCTGAAAACAATGAAATATTCCATTCATCAAAAAACAAGAAAGCTTGTATTGTGAAAATTTAGATACAAATTACATTAAATAATGTAAAATACATAAAGTCTGCACACCTTATTAGATTGCCTGAATAATTCTATTAAACACACATAGCACATATTAACATTGACCAAGTAGATTTATAACAAACAAATCAGCCAAAAATATCACAAACAAATCATTAAATAAATGCACCTAATTTCCAATAGGGAGAACACTTTGTATTCTCCTACTGATTTTAATCTTAATTTGTTGTATTGCGATGTCCGGCAATCAACTAATGAATAATCAAATCTCAAGTTCATAAGATGCAGGCGTGAATGTTCTGCAGGCCCCTGTGAGTTGTCACAGTGCACTCTTCTTCACCTCCATCACACTGTGCTCCAAAGACTCCCCAGTCGCACGCAGCTCGTCTCTCCGCCGAGCAAGATGGCCACGTTCCTCTTGCAATCGCTCATGCAGCTCTATGTAGCGTCTGCTCTGCAGGTATCTGACCTCCACTTCACTGTTGCTGGAACTGGACTTCAAATCTGAAAGATGACACCCTAAAGTCAGTGGTCAGTGGTCATGCATGCAAAGGTGCAGTCACACTAGCTAATACCCATGTACAATACTACTAATGGTAGCAATTCACAATTCTGTAATAATCATTCATTATTTAATTACCCAACAATTATTTTCTTAGAAAAATTGCAGTTTGAAACAGTAACAAAGACAGCAACTTAAAAAAAAAACTGACATATAACCTTTCTAACATCACTCTAAATGAATGGGATTAACATTACCAGGTGAACAAACACAACGCACAAAAGGACAGAACTTTAAGTTAACAATGAGATTATGAATGGCATTAACCTTACCAGGTGAACAAGCAATACTATTGCAAGGAAATTAGTTTAGGTTCTCTTCAAAGGACAATGAAATCGAGAAGTTCTCCATATATGCTCCCCAGTATATTTTAGTGTGCACAGTGTTTTCTTGCATGAATCTTTGAATAAGGGTAGAGTTCAATACACAAAACTTGTTTCATTTCGAGACCGACATCACTTGATATGATATCTTGTAGTTCAGTAATGGCTGGAATACACTACACCACAGTCTGGAGGAATCGGCGGCAATTCCCGAAAGTCCAACCGGATCTCATGAGAAAACGGTGGCGATTTTGTATGAATTTCGATGATGCGTTTCGTAAGAAAACATACGAAAAAGTAAGCATGATGCTCCACCCCAACACCCAACCATCAGTGGGGTAAAAGCAGATTGTTCAAAAACAATTTGCAATTGTACAAATTCGTACTAATTGACCACCAATTTCTCAAAACGTAAAATAGATATGAATTGCCGTGAGTTTGTGTTTGAAAGTCATAGCAAGTCTGCAGATGCTAGTCCGAGTTGACTGCTTTGACAGAAAAAAAATGTGTAGTGTATGATGGGCACAGACTCCAATTTTTAGCTTCAGACAATGATTACATTCAGTCGCTAGATGTTAATGAACAAAAGCAGAACTGATTATTCTGACATTTATTTATTTTTATTATTAATGTTATTTAAAGTACACTACATTATGATACACTACAGAGGAGAACAGCTCCCCGACTGAGCCTGGGTTCTGCCAAATGTTTTTCTCCATTCTGCCACCTGATGGAGTTTTGGTTTCTTGCCACTGCTGCCTTTTTCCACCTTTGTTGCCATTGGCTTGGCTTGCTTAGTTGGGGACATTAAATTTAACATTTAATTTAATATTCAACAATAATATTGATCTGCCTGCATTGACACCATTATATGAGAACTGAACTGAGCTGGACGATGTCATCATGGTTAACTCCAGAGCGGCTATATATATATATATATATATATATATATATATATATATATATATATATATATATTTATATATATATATTTATATATATAAACTAAATAACTGTTTTTTAAAAGCAAAAATGAAACATCACTGAACTTACTTAAGCTGGACTGTGACGCTATTTTCTTCTGGAAACAAACTTTTTTGCCTTATTTTCCTGTTATCTCTGTAAAGCTGCTTTGAAACAATCTGTATTGTAAAAAGCGCTATATAAATAAATGTGACTTGACTACCAGTCAAAAGTTTTGAATCGAGAAGATTTTTAATGTTTAAAAGTCTCTTCAGCTCACCAAGGCTGCATTTATTTTTAAATACAAAAAAACCCAGTAATATTGTTAAATATCATGACAATTTAAAATAATCATTTTCTATTTTATTATATTTTAAAATGTAATTTATTCCTGTGATCAAAGCAGAATTATCAGCATCATCATCATATTAGAATGATTTCTTAAGGATCACGTGACACTGAAGACTGGAGTAATGATGCTGAAAATTCAGCTTTGATCACAGGAATAAATTATACTTTACTATACATTCGCATAGAAAATAGCTGTTTTAAACTGTAACGATATTTCACAATATTACTGTTTTTTATCAAATAAATGCAGCCTTGGTGAGCAGAAGTGCCTTAGTTTAAAAACATTAAAAATCTTACTGATCCAAAACTTTTGACAGGTAGTGTACATACACCCATATTTTTTTTTAAATAGTCATGTGTCTCCTAGTGTTTTAAAATCTTAAAAGTTGTAAAGTGTATTCCAGCCACTGATCTCTTTAAATGCTCATGATGTCATATAATAAGTGAAGCCACTGCACCACACATTCTATTAAATAATTATGAAAATATCTGATTTTAATGATAATCGTTTATCCTGTGTGAAAAAACTCTGATAATGTCTGAAGTAACAAATCATTTACATACATAGCCTATATCCTAAAAACTAACGACTGAAATGATGCAAACCAGGTCCTTTTAGGTCAAGGTTTGGGCTGTCAGTCAATGATGCCCTCTGTCTGAACGGCATATGCCGTAATTTCAATAGGAACCATGTGATCAGTCATTTCAAGTGAGGCCTAAAGATTTTTCCATGCATAGGCTATTTCGCAAAGGGGTTTTCACACTGTGTTGACCAACAGAAAGCCGGTGTATAGAAAGTGACATGTGTGAACTGTGCTTCATGCATCACTACACTATTGACATGACATTTACCAAACCTTAAAGGGGTCATATAATGCCATTTTTGTACAAGTTAATATGAATGTTTAGGGTCTAAATGAAAACTTTGTAATATACTTTTATTAAAAATTCTCATTAGTATTTTAAGAAAACACTAATTTTACCTGGTCAAAAACAGCTCTGTTTTCAGCACGCCGTTTCAGTGCATTTGCCTTTAAATGATAATGAGATTCGCTGACTCCGCCCCTCTGTTCACACGTGGAGTGTTGCCTTGACAACAGTTGAGGGTATATTTTGGAGTAAGAATGGCAGCGGGAGTCTCTGAGGACACATCTGTGCAACCGTATCAGTTTGAACCGGAGTCGGACCCGGAACAAGATTTCTGAATGGTTGGTTAACGTAATGTCACTTTAATCTATCTTTGTATGTACTGGCAGGGTAGAGTAGTGAGATACGAACGCTATGTGTTTACTGATGTATACGTTAGTTCATTGACAGATTGACGTTACAACTAATGGTCATGAAAAACTTTTTTTTCGCGATTTGCAAAGATTAATATAAAGGTTAATGAAACTTTACACTTACTTCTGTTGGTGCAGAGGGAACATAAATAGTTGGTACCGTTTTTTTGTTTTTGTTTTTTTTTTGCAATTTTTATCATTCTAAGCTAATCAAATACCTTATAGGAAAGTAACAGCATGGTAAATAAAAAAAGGATTTATATACACATATGTGTGTGTGTGTGTGTGTGGAAAAATTACACATGTAATTTCAAAGTGAAGGCTTAGAATAGACCCTATATTTAAAATCACTCTTTTTTTTCCTTCTTGGACAACCAACCAATCACAGTCTTCAAAAGATTGTGTCATACAGCAACGGGGTCAACCCCGCCTCCTAAGATGAAAGTTGTCGTCTTTTCCTTACTCAGAGTTGCAAAAGAGACTTTTTATATTTAATGATGTACATCTTAATTGAAATGCTTTTGTCATTTAAAATAAAATGAAATATTATTGTGTGCGAGATTCATATTTTATTTTAAAATAACTTCTTGTACTGAAACCAATATCTTGTGCACTAAATGTAGATTTTGGTGAGCTTAATAGGTACGTTTACCCTATTTTATTATAATTTTTGAAATGTAAATGTATGCAATACTGTAAATCCATTAACCCTCTGGGGACCAGGGTGTTTTTGGGGTCCTTGAGATGTTTTGACATGCCCTGACATTTGTGCTTTTTTCAGTTGCTTATAAACATATTAATGGCACAGAATGCACAGCCTGTTTATGAGAGGCAGAATGCACAGCCTGTTTATTTTCTTTATTTTACAAAAGCACAATATTTTATTTCGATTGTAGGTGGGCACATAAAAAAGTAGACATTTAACAGTTTATTTTTTAATATGTCTTAACTCTGTATGACCAGAAATGATGGAGTAGTTTAAGTCTATTTTTCTGCTATGTGAAAAAAATCTGCCAAAACGCACCGGTGCGTTTGCCGTCCCCAGAGGGTTAAACTTACAACACTGTTTGGCCTAAAGGTATCAAACCAACTGTAAATTACTCAAAATATTAATGCACAAGGCTTGTTTTCCAGATTATTCATCTGATATTTCTTTATAAGGCTAATTTTTCAAATAATTAATCTGGTATTTTTTAAATACAGTACTAAACCCATTCAAATCTATTAAACTACAACATTGTTTGGTCTAAAGGTTCCAAACCAACTGTAAATTACTCCGAATATTATTCTCTAAAAAGCACAAGGCATGTTTTTCAGATTATTTATCTGGTATTTTTTTATAAGGCTTATTTTTCAGATTATTAATCTGGTATTTTGTATACAGTACTAAACCCATTCAAATCCATTAAACTACAACACCGTTTGGCCTAAAGGTATCAAATAACCATTAAATTACTCTGAATATTATTCTCTATAAAGCACAAGGCTTGTTTGTCTGATTATTAAATTTGTATTTTTTATACGGTTTATTTTTTAGATTATTAATCTGGTATTTTTTATATGCAGTACTAAATCCTTTAAATCCATTAAACTACAACACTGTTTGGCCTAAAAGTATCAAACAACTGTAAATTACTCCGAATATTATTCCCTTTAATGCACACGGCTTGGTTTCCAGATTATTCATCAGTCATTTTTTTATAAAGTTCATTTTTCAGATTATTAATCTGGTATTTTTTATGCAGTACTAAACACATTCAAATCCATTAAACTACAAGACTGTAAATTACTCAGAATATTATTATCTATTATGCACAAGGCTTGTTTAAAAAAAAAAAAAAAGAAGTTTAACCAGATTAGCCTATTCATCTGAAAAATAAACTTTATAAAAAAATATCAGATGAATAATCTGAAAAACAAGCCTTGTGCATTAAAGGGAATAATATTTAATCGCTGTAGTTTAATGGATTTGAATAGGTTTAGTACTGTATATAAAAAATACCAGATTAATTATCTGAAAAATAAGCATTAGGCCTATAAAAAATAATAAAAAATAAATATCAAGAAAACAAGCCTTGTGCATTACAGAGAATAATATTCTGAGGCCAAACAGTGTTAGTGTAATGGATTTACAGTATTGCATCGATTTAATTTTCAAAAATTATTATAAAATATGTGTAAAGCTAATTCCAAAAACAAAGCCTTGTGCAATAAAAGGTATATTTTTCGGAACATTTTACCATTAGTTTGATATCATAATGAAACTGTTTAATTGATTTATAGGGCTAATTAATACATATTTTATTTGTTGAAATTAATCATTGTGCAATGAAAAGGACATTTGTTTATGCATATCTGAGTTGGTTTGGGCAAAAACATGAAATGCGCAGAGAGTTTAATGGGTATAAAACCGAATGTCAAACGTTACGTTACTAGCTTTACCGCAGTCGTTTAGCAGATGAGCAAACACTCCAAAAACACTTCTAGGTACAAATTTTAAAATATGGTTAGGTAGTAGGACACACACACATAATTATTTTTACCACAGCGATTACGGTAAAAAAAAATGATTTAAAACGTAGGCTACTAAAGGTTAGGCTACTTTCCCACGACCCTTCAAAGGGGACACTGAAAAATACGAGAACGATTAATTCAAAATACAGTAACGTTACTGAACGAGGTTGATTCGGGTGTAGACTAACAAAGACAAAAAAAATAAAAAAAATAAAAACAGACTAAAAAATAAAATAGCGCAAAAGGCAAGCAAGAAGTTGCCTACTGTGATAAAATAATATACTGAGCTATGATAATGGCCATATGTCAGTTGTTCATCTTCATTTGCGATGCGAAATGCGTTTGTTTTTTATGTGGTGTCTGAAAACTAACTTCTTGTTCAGTTACTGTCACTGTGTGTTGCTGTTGCTGTGTGAAACTATGTGCTTTTAATAGATCAGCACTCAACTGTGTTTAAAGCCACTGTGCTGAAATATTCTCGTCTGTCCGATTGCCTACCTTCAGCAGATTCGTGTAAAACAGTGAACACTGGATCATTGAGATAGGCTCGGTTTGCATCCTCCATGATCTGCTCCACTGTCGGCGGATCGGGTCGGCTCGGCAGAACCATCCGCTTCTTGCCTTTGGAACCAAAATTCATCCTGGTTGGAAACACCAGCTCTAGTTTTAAGCACCAAGGATTTTTTTATAGAGCTTTAGTGTTCATGTTAATGAGGAAACTGTACACTGTGAAACAAACCCTACTAGTAAATGACTGAACTACATATTTCACATGTAAACTGCATAGGGTAAACTGTTTACTATGGCATCCAGTGCTGACACGTCAGAGGATGACGTTTCAACAGTCAAAGGATGACGTTTTTTTGTTTTGTTTTTGTGATGATTGTCGCCATCTGTTGACTCGGAGTAAAACAGCATTTGAAAATAATTAGCATTTATAAAATTCTAAAATTGAAATAATTAGATTACATTTCATAAAATTCTCGTAGACTATTACTTTTTATATATAATGTTATTCTCCCAATGGCAGTAAATTATTCATATTTCAATCTTACAACTTATTTTTTTATCTTTTAAATTTTCCTTTCTAAAATTAGAAATCTATACTTATATACAATCAGAAGGTCTTCCAGGTTTGTGGAATTGCACACGAAGACCAACAACTAGTCATGTCTATCATTGAAAACTGAGACACAGATAGCATTTGATCACTGGATTTACAGAAATCATTTCATTTTTAAGAAGTGTTGTCTCAACCCTGCATAACTAATCAGCTCCTGACAAACATAATTATTATTTGAATTATCACTCAATGAGTCATTTAACCATGTATTACTGTCTTCGGAAGGCTTTTGTCTTTCAAACACGTGGCGTTATAAAATAAATATTTACATGCAATAGGGATTCCCCAACATGGCATGGTAAGTAAGTGGCAAGTAAGCAAAATAAAAACAAAAATCTTTTTTTAGTAAGAGTTTTATTTTTATTGTTTATTTTTTAATTATTTTTATTTTAAATTTTTATGATTTAATTAGTTTTTCATTTAACTCACAAAAATCCCTGGGAATCATGATCCCCAGTCTGGTTAACCCTGGTGTAATGTAATATTTAATGTAGGTACTTCATGTTTTTGATCAAATAAAATAGTATATTTTCTTTCTCTGTGTATTTTTATATCAATATGGTACAAGATTATGCTGTTCAAATCAATGTGATAAACAAGTTGTCAAAAGTAATCTAAAAGTAATCAAAAAGTAGTCAGATTACATTACCATGTGCAAATAATGTAATGAATTATGTTACTAGCTAAAAAAAATATGATGTGCAATTTGGAATCAGTAACCGACTACAATTTGTAAGTAATCTAGCCAGCACTGACAATTGATTGTCTTTAGACATTTTTTTTTAATGTATGTATGCAGTATAATTTTCTCCATGGACAGATCCATGTTATAAATGTGCAGTTTTTATGAATCATGCATTATATACAGTATATATTTATATATATATATATATATATATGTGTGTGTGTGTGTGTGTGTATAAAGTTTCATCATTTTTATTATTAATAAAAATTTCACAATATCTTGTAAATATTTGTAGAATAGATATTGTTATGTTTCTTAACAGAAGAAAATGATGAGCATGTATCTAACGGAATAATTGCTGTTTCATTATTTGCAAGTATTTGAGTTAACATGCTAATCTCAAAACTCAATAGTTGGACACATTTAACTTAAGTCAGTTTAAGGAATTAAGTTGATGTCAACGGTACATGAGAAAAGAATCCAAATACAAACCCAATTTATTGAGTTTGAAGACTTACATTTTTTATCATAATAATATTAAGATTACAAAATCCCTGATAAATGCCATAAATACAACATAAATTGTTGCAGAGAAAACAGTAAAAACAATAATTTCTGTTGAATTGTCCATATTTCTAATTGGCTACATTTAAATGCCAAAGACATTTAAACAACCGGTAGAAATGTGTATTAACAGTGAGCAAAAAATAACTGACATAAATAATTGTGTTCAGGGCATTTACAGTTTAGAAATATAAATAAATATACCGGATTATTAAAGTCCAAGCACTCCTGACAATGGGTGCCTGAAAATCATGCAGATGAAGATTAATTACAATTCACTCATTGAGGCCTTTACATTGAGACTATGATACTGCTGCATCCTCTTGCATGTTGTGTCAAGTGATTTGTCTCCTCGGACCACTCTGGCCACCTGTATTTCTGCAAGTAATAAAATATATATATATATACAGTATATACATTAAAATACCTCCCACCTCATACATACATGCACACACACAGACACAAACTAAAAACTTACCATTTAATCAACAGTGGGTTCAGGCTACATTCAGAGACATGAAAGGAGAGACAGTATAGAGAGATTGATTAATGTGCAGAAAACCAAAGAATGGAAAAATGTGTATCTTGGCAAATGTTGGTTTATTAGCAATATCATAACATACAGGAGCAGAACTGGGTAGTCTTTTGGCTTCAGGTTCAGCTGGGCCAACAGTCCGGTTTCTCGCGAGAGTGTGGAGGACTGCAACAGAAAGATTGATGGATAGAACAAGTGAAAACTTGAACAGATGAGAAAAATATGATGACAAAAATAACATTTACATTAATCTAAGCAAACAATGAGCTGAGTTCAATCAGGGCTGCAATTAAAACGACTTAATTCACTTTTAAATTGGAACAGAAACTAAGTTTTGCGGTGTGAATAAATAATGCTCCATTACTCTAACTTTTTATAATTAAGTAATGCTTGTTCAAATTATTCGACAATTATATGTTTATAGTATATTACATAATGTACTAAACGGGTCTGATCTGTCTAAATCGGTTTGTTTCTAGTCTCTATATTTGGAATGTAACCTGCAGATTGGTATTTGTCTTGCTGTAATCTGTAGATCACTGAACAGAATTAATCCATGTGTTATTTTATGAAATACAATGCTGGCCAATCACAGCTGGACAGCGGCATAAAAAGCGGGTATATTTTTATTAAGTTTCAATAAATGTAATTTGACTTATTATTATTATTATTTGTTGCAAAGTTTACATTAGGTGTGATCTGGAAATGTATAGTTTCACAATTATTCCTTGGCTGATATACTGTATGTGCTTTTTGAGATTAATCAATTACCAAAATAACCACCTCCATTTGTCGGATTAACAGGAGTGTGTGTGTGTGTGTGTGTGTGTGTGTGTGTGTGTGTGTGTGTGTGTGTGTGTGTGTGTGTGTGTGTGTGTGTGTGTGTGTGTGTGTGTGTGTGTGTCTGTGTGTATTTAGATTAAATATAGCCTAAAATAAGTTGCATTTGCTGTCATTAAACTGAATTATGTATTTTATAGAGCAGCGTCAGTATTGGCCTTTGTAAAACTAAAAATAATGGTAGACTACCAATTTACAACCAGAATGTAGTATTTTAAATCTTAAAAATCTTGTCAATATTTTTGACTGTTTATTTGAATATTAGGTGGACAGCCAAATGGTACTGTTGGCCCGTTTGAACACATAGCCTTTCAAAATATACTCCGTTTGATAGCATGGACACAGACGCTCAACACATGCGCACTAGAAAGTTTCATCCTTGTCCATGTCAGTGCTATTTCTCTCCAGTAGTCATGGTCGATAAAAATGCCTTTACTCATTTAAACTAGAGTTGCGGGTATGTCTTTACCCCCCTCACACAAGTGCTCGTCAACATGGGCGTCTATTGTTGTTGCCATCTCCAGTAGTTTGTCTTTTTTGACTGCAGAACAACTGGGAATGTCCTCGGGTTAGTCTTGGTCTCAGTCTAAGAAGACTCTGTAGCCTAGAAATCTAGACGCACCCTAGCGGCAGCAAATTTTATTTTGCAGCCAGTGTCGTCTAGCAACTCTCCGTTGGCTTGCGAGCTGGAAAAACCAAACTCTAGTCAGGCCAATCACATCGTGTATAGAGTCGGTGGGCGGACTTAACCCTTAAACAGGCAAGAGTGGAAAATGTTAAATGCTAATAAAAAATGCTAATAAAATAGTGCGTGCATACTATGCTGATGATGAATTTTACCTCACACTGCACCCATACCGTAGCATACACTTAAAAATGCATACACTTTCAAGCGTTAGATGTTATTCTTTGATGTTCAAATGAAACACTTCAAAAACCTGACAGTCTTATGTTGTATACCCTCTCTTGTGACGTTTTCAGCTGCTGCCATGGCCTTTCCACTTATATCGTTGACCATCCCGTCTACTGTGGCTTCATGCTTCAGGAAAAATGGCCGCACCACACGCCTGTACAGAATTTGAGAACCATTCCAGGAGACCGGAGCCATGCACCATAACAGGAACAGGCACTATGCATCAGCAAAGACACAAAAAAGAGCAAGTTAAAGTAATGGGTTATCTAGTGTGAGAAATCATCACTAACATGGCTGTAGAGTTGTCCCTATTAAAGTTAAGAAACTAAAGCAGCAACGATTTAAGAAAGTAGTTTGTCGAACTTTACAATTACCTACCCAGAAAAAGTAATAATAGTTCACTGTAATATGCAGGAAGACGACAAAACAAAAAAATCGTGAAACAACCAGAGAATCAATCTAGCTTAATGACCTTAAATTATGTATTTTTTAGTTTACGTTTTAGAGTCTCAGTATGCTTGTCCACAATGGGTTGACCAAAGACAGATATAAAAGTGATGGATCTATTTGCAAGCAGTTTTCTTTAATTAAAATAAACTCAAATTACACTTCATCTGGAAACAAAAACACGGGAAACAGAACAACACCTATTATGAGATAGGATCACAAGATGACAAAAACTGAAACAAACACAGGGCTAATATACATAGGGGACACTAAGGACTAAACAAGATGATTAACAAGACACAGGTGTAACACATAAGGGCATAAACCATAACTGATGAACAAAGACAAAGGAAACTAAACTGGGAAAAGTTCAAAACTAAACACAAAGTCCAACTCAAGCGCTCGGTGACTGTCTGTCTACAATTCTGCATAGCTTTACAGAACGTGCTGATGACGTGTGATGAGCAGGGTGCGTAAAGGTATGGAAATGCATATGTTGACAGGCAGGTAGGACATCGTATCATTGCATTCGGACCAAACGTAATGATTGGACGAAAATTTTTTGGTCATGAGACTTCCACAGAAGATATATGTTCATGTTTTAATATTTTATTGATTGCTATCTGGATGTGAAGAGAGTTTCAACCAGTATAACAAAGCATTTGTATAAAGACAAAAAATCCTACCCTACCTTTAACACTGACTTTAACAGACATTTCCACAAAAAATATTTTAAAAATATTTAAATTAAAGATTAAAATGTTAAAAAATAACATAACATGTTAAAACTGCTAAAACCAAACTTATGCCATTGAACACTATGGAAATACTGGCAGATGTCTAAAGACCAACAACATAGCTGTGTTAAATGAAACAGCTTGCCAAACAACTATTTAACCTCTAAGGGAAATGACAAAGGAAGGCAGAAGTCTTTGTGCCAATTAGCAGAAAGAAGCCGGTAATAATTGATCCTCTTAAATCGGATATTAGTCAGAGAAAGCATGACCTACCTTACATACATAGTAGAAAGGAAACCAGTAGAGAAAGATGTCAGAGAAGAATTCACCCACACTGAAGATGCCATAGATTACCCAATACGTCAGCCATTGTGTGTCATCCTCCTTATCAGGACTTTCTATGGCTTTGATACTACAAAGAAAATGTAAATAGAAAATAATTTAAAATATATGCCAGTTAAGACAAGTATATTGTAACCAAACTCCAGCTACTGCATCCAAACTCAAATACATAATAAACTATCAGCTTAGGTTAAGACAAGTATTGATTTGTGAAATATCTTAAAACATAACTCACGAGAAATATGCAGGATAAACAAAACCAATCAGATTACAAAGTAGAGAAGCACCATATCCAAATAATAAATATGCTCCAGTCACAGCTGTAGCACCTGTTGGGAGAAAAATCATAACTGAACAATGTCTTCAATGTGTAAACTGGAGAATCACAAGTAAAATTACAGTAACTAACGCTAATCATGGACAACTGTCTTTGAATGAGGCCTCAAATGAAATCTTTATTTTTCAATGTAGACAGCTTTTGGAACAGAACAAATATTTATCACAATTTCATAATCAATATGTTGAGGGATGAAGGTGAAATACCAGTAGTCTACTGTGTGTTTTAGGAAGGTGTATATACTTTAAGGAGCAATTTTGGTTACACTTTATTTAAAAATATCCGAGTACAGTGTAATTATTTAAGTAGGCCTACGGAGTAATAAGAATTAACTATAGGTATACTTGCTAAAGAGGTGGGGTTAGGATTACGGTGTGTTTAAGGGTTAGTTGCATGTAATTACTTTAGTAAATGTGTAAGAAGGACACTGTAAAATAGTGTTACCGAAATGTGTCCACAGACTATAGGCTACTAGCCTACGTCAGAGAAAATCTGCCCATTTAGAAAAAAATAAAATAAATAATGTTTTTTTAAATTTATTAAATTGCAATTATTTTCATTTAATTCTTTCAATGAAAACAAAAGGAAACAACTCAATGTCATCAAGTGCGTGTAGCCTATTGCCCTAATATTTTATTGCACAAATTGTGTGATAAAATATAAGGGGCGAGCAATATCCGACAATATATTTGATCTATTATAAAATATTCATAGCCCTGATACTATTTATTATTGAGGTTGTTTTAGCCAACTTAATTGTTTTAGCCTTTTATTTCTCTTTAGCAATGATATTTGTCATTTCACACCCCAATAGTAGGCTAACGCTTCGACTGACCCATGTGTCCACCTGTTACATTATAACACAAAACACTTCATTATTCGCAGAAAACACTTTAGGCCTATATAAAACATGAAAAGACTTAAGATAAAACTAGGACTTACCGAGAGCTAAGTAACGTTTCTTGATGCCTGTTTTTTCTTCGATTTTATTGAGACAGTCAGTGACTACATTCTTCTCGTTCAAAAAAGCCTCAATGCGTTCTTTTATCTTAGTAAATATGGTAAACATCGTGGCTTAAAAGGAAAGCGTAACGTTATGCAATTTAATAGAGGTGTATGATTGAGAACATGGATGGTATTTCGTCCTCTCTGCAGTTTCGCTGACTGAACAGACTCAATCCGCTTACTGTCAGACTGTCGGACTAGTGACGTGTCTGTGGGGAGGATGAACACTCCTGACTGACAGCAGTCAGACTCTACATCATTACACGACGGAGAAAGTAGGTTAAATGTATCACTTAACTTTTAAAATGTAACTGAAATGAATCTGGGGTATGATATTTGTGAAAGAAAAATCAATAGCCTATGCTAACAAAAGCTATTGTGTAATTTAGTTTGGTTGGGTGAAGGTGTTTACAACTGATTATTTGGCTACAAATGATCAATGGATACTACATCTGAGTACTGAGCAGTTGTAACCGCTGGGGGTCCCTGCTCACCTGGCATTGTGTGTCAGTTATTTCCGCAACAAAGAAAAATGATACTGGAAAAGCATAGACAGACAGGTATGTGAATACATTGAGCAGACAAGCACTTACACGTCGTTATGGCGAAACCGAGGGGATATAACCTGAAGCACTATAAAAGCTGCCTTTGGTTTTCAATGACACAGAGATAACATGAACACTAAAAGAAAGAAATCATTCAGAGCCGTGAAGTACACTTTATTTGTGTGTTGCTACATCTTTTGGGTAAGAGCATGACTTGTAAATGTATTTCTGCTGATTTTTAGAGCGAACATGACAACTTTGCATATTAAAGTATATTTATATTATATTATTTCTAACTGTTTGCCTACTGTATGTTGTATTTGTCCAAATCGTTTGGCTTTGTTTCATATGGAATTGTGTTTGTATTGCAGATATTTTAAACAAATGAGTGTTGTTGTGTTAAAGGTGTTCAGTGCTGTCCTAATTGCTGTTGGAATCTATGCAAAAGTTGCCAAAGAGTCAGGTATTTAAACAGTATTCGTCATATTCATTCATCTCTAGTTGTAAAAGAAGCTTGCAAACATTTATAAATGTCAAAATTTTCACAAATTGTACATTAGGCCTATATGATGCTTACCAGATCATTAGCCTAAATAATATTCCAACAAGTTTAGATCCATATTTTCCAACTGTTGTATAAATATTATAGTTTCCATGACCACAGTGGCACATTGAGACTAGATGAAATATTTATAGTTTTAAATGTAATTTGTAACATACCGCACAACCAGCTTAAATTAAGGCTAGGTAAGGTAATGTAAAACTTTTCTTTAACTCATCTAATGAAGGCAAAAAAAAGGGTGACTAAAGTGTTGAAAAAGTTAGATGTAGCCTGTTATAGATCCTATGTAAATTGTAAACAGAAAAAAAGAACAAGAAAGAAAAAGATGTATGTTAACTAACGTGTACATCTACATTTTGTGTTACTTTATATTTTCTTTACTAATGCTTGACAGATGTAGTGGACACGCTGATGGCAGATCCAGCGCTGTTGCTGATCATTGTGGGTTCTCTCTTGTTCACCATCACTTTCTTTGGCTGTTTCGGAGCTCTGCGCAACATCTCCTTGCTGCTCAACATGGTCAGACTCAGATATAGTTCTCACATGAGGAAGTTGTCACAAAGGCTATATCTCAGTATGGAAAGATTACCTTGTACTTTGAATATTTCAAAATCTTGGATGGATGGATGGATGGATGATAATTTCAAGACCGTATTTTACATGGTAGTTAAAAAATATTTTTCTCAAGTCAGTCAGTAGTCAGACTCAGTGCCCATTGTGACAACTTACCCTTTTTTTTTACCTAGATTTTTTTCCAGATTTTTTTTTTTTTTTTACAAATAAATCATATTTGTCCAGTTTGTAGGAGTTTTGCTGGCCATTCTGCTGCTGCAAGTAACAGCCGCTGTGATGGGCCTTTTGTTCTCTGAAAAGGTAAATAATTTACACAGGTACAAACTAAAACTTTATATTTGGACCATTGGGCATTTCTTGGAGAAATGAGATGATGTTTTAAAATGATTACTTTCAAAATTTGTTGGTAGGTTCAAGAGAGGACAGAGCAGCTGATGATGAAGGCGATTGTGCGCTATCGGGATGATCAGGACTTGGAAAATGTTATTGATTTTGTACAGAAAAAGGTAGAAGAATTTGATTTCATATACCGTTCAAAATTTGGGCTTTATAAGATTTTTTATGTTTTTGAAAGAAGTCTTTCTTGCTCACCAAGGATGCATTTATTTGTTCAAAAAACACAGATGTACAGTAAGATAAAGTATTGTTACAATTTAAAATAAAATAACTATTTTCCTTAGTAATATTCAAATGATATTTGTTCCTGATGGCAACATCAAATGGCGAACGTAATGAAAGCGGAACAAAACTGCGCTACTCATATTGTGCTTCACAGACCGTTTATCAGTTCGGACCAGCAACATCTGTGCAGCGCAAGCCGATCTTGATCAAGCGACACTGTTACTACACAGCGCTAAGAGATCCAGTGAAGAAAATATTTGAATTTGCTACTGAAGTAATAACATCGCTGCGAGATCTAGTGAGAAGCATTCAAATTTCTCCGTTATTAACCGTAGATCTCTATTAGATCAAACAGCGCTGACGTGGAAACCAGGAGAAACATTGTGCCGTGAATGATCTAGTTATAGGCTTTAAGTCCACAGATCAGCAACATTCACCATGGATTTAATATAGTAACACTAACTGTAACCATGGAAGTTTGGCTGGAATAGTGAAATGCTTTCGAGTACTTCACACATCTTTTTCCAGCACTTCAAAACTCAAATATTATCTAAATATTATATATATAAATATAGGCCTATATTTAAATGTTATTTTTAATGTGATGACCAAAACATTATTTGTTCATCTTTCAAAGATTACCCCCATTTATAAACCTGAAAGTTTCAAGATGTAGTAAAACTCAAACTTATTTAAAAATATTTTTTCTTTTATAAATAGGAAATTTCTCTGGCATTTCTTTCTTTTTGCTGTATCGAAAATGTACCGAACTGTGACACCACTGTATCGTATCAAACCGAACCATGAATTTTGTGAACCGTTACACCCCTAGTGCGGTCGGTCCGTTTTACCATCTGATGGGCACAATCGCTGTCTTGCGTGTCTGGGCTTAGAGCACGCTAAGGCAGTGTTTGTGGATGAGTCATGTTCTCATTGCAGGAACATGACCATCGCGGTACTTCGGTCGAGATTCAATGACCTCCGTAGAGGTAGAGTCCCCCCTGCCACACCCCAATCTATCCCCTCTGAGAGAGGCAATACTTTGGCTGGTGGCCAGGGTGACCTGAGGGTTACAGTGTGGAGCAAAGCCCAGACGATACTTCCTCGGGCCACACCCCCCTCTTGCGCACCGCAACCCGCTAGCGTGGGATCATGGATCATACGTTCCTTATGCCTCATCCGGCGCTCCAGATGATGAGACGATGTCAGCATGCCAATGTCGCCGCATCACAAGGTGGGCTGGAGTCTTCCGGAGATGAAGCGCCATCTTCCGGAGATGAAGACTCGGCTGTGCTGCCGCCTTCGGGTGTGCCAGCATTGCCCAAGTCTGATCCGGAATTGACAGCCATGCTCTCCCGGGCAGCTGGAATGGAATCCTCCAACTTGTCGCTAACAGACATCTGCAGAGGTGCAGGCTGGACGACACCCAACACTTACGCGAGATTCTATAATCTCCGGGTAGAGCCAGTGTCCTCTCATGTACTCGCTTCCACTAGCCAGTAAGTAGGACCTGCTCTGTGTCAAAGCTTGCTGCGCCATTCCACACCACGGACTGGATACGTGCGCTATTTCACTCAGATGAGTTCTTCTTAGACCCTGAGTTCCTCCTGCCCTGTTGATGCTGTCAGCAGAGTGCATGCCCGGTCGGTCAGCCCTCATCATTGGCTAGGTGCCTCTGTGTGCATGGTCCACCCATTGGGCAACCCCCAATGTGTATTTCCACGGTAAGTCTCCTCCGAGCTTGTGTCTTTCCCTTGCCTCGAGGTTGAAACATTCCACCCTAAGGGCTGGATACTGGAGTTTCTCCATATGCATACTCGGGTCATATGTGTATTCTAAGTCCTCCCTACGGGTAGGCGCTGTGTTACATATTCCTCCTGGGATATGCTACCCAGCGTACCTTGGTATTCCTGCGTTAAGCCTAGCCCTTCGTTTGTGCTAGTTTCACGACAGAGAGCTCAGTCTTGCGCAAGGCACTGAGATTGGGACCCCCATTTCGTCATTCACTAACGTAACTCGCAGTGACTGAACGAAAGGGAACGTCTCGGTTACGTATGTAACCCTCGTTCCCTGAGGAGGGAACGGAGACGTTACTTTCCTCTGCCACCACCCCTGTACCGCTGGTTTGTAGAACTCGAAGCTGATAGGCTTCTAAGCGAAACCCCCATTTCGTAATTCACTGATGTAACGTCTCCGTACCCTCCTCAAGGAACGAGGGTTACATACGTAACCGAGACTGCGCAGGGACCATTACCGCCATACCGCCATACCGCCAATCCTAACTGTATGCTAATTGTCAATCGTATTTGACGATAGTGGTCCTGACAGAATTAAAGTGCCCCTATTATGCTATTTTAAAGTTTCCTAATGTTGTTTTGGAGTCTCCTATAACAGGTTTGCATTCATCAAAGGTCAAAAAACGGTTTTATTTCCTCATAATATACATTTGCACATCACCACATTTTTAATGATTCTCAAATGACTCGTCAGATGAATCAATCTCTCTAAATCCCTCTTTTCCGTGAGCTACTCTGCTCTGATTGGCCAGACAGCTTAGTCTGTTGTGATTGGTTTACTGCGTATGCGCGTCGAAAACAAAAACGCCCATTGACATGACAACATAGGCTCTGCTTGTCTACACCGTAAACTAAACAGACTAACGAACAATGACGTTGATTGTGCCATATCAATGCGAGCACGAGTCCGAAGATAAAACATTGGAAGAACTATTCATTAACAGGACCTTTCTCAGTGTTACTCTACTCAGTTTGAGGTACATGATGAGATGTATGCAATGTATACATTAGCCGAGCTCTAGCGTGAATGACTGATGTAACATAAACGTTGGTAAAACAAATCTTGCTCCATAATCTTTCCTCAAAGTAGTGAGAACGACAGATAATCTGCATTAATAGACACAGTTTTAGGTAATAGTGGCCCTCAGCTGCTTAGCAGAAGTATTTCAGTAAGACAGTGATAACATAAGTTAGCTGTTAGCAGGAGATCTACACAATATCAAACTCATAACTAAGTATTTTGAACACCATCTTTCAAGAGCAAGCGGTTTGCGAATCCTGCATTTAACTCAGAGATTTGAGAAGCAGTCGTCAGTAAAATAAAGGGAAAAGCGCAAAAGTTTAGGATTACACTGCTGTGATATCGTGGTAAAGATTAATTTTAACCACTGATTCTTCACATGCTCATCCTTGGGCAGTGAAAAAAAAACTGGCCTTAGCCTACCTTCTCATTGTATAGCACAGGTTCTTCTCGACATGATGCTATCCAGTATCCACAGGAATCAGCTGCCGGTTTGAGGTTCAAGTTTTCCCTGGTGTCTGCGCGTGCAATAAGTGGGCGGGCAATATGCTAATGTTTCGTCTTGACGTCACAACGAAACGGCTTATGACTCGTTTGAAAAACGATTAATTTCATTTACTCAGAGTCGACTCTTACTTTTGATAGACAATACATTTATATACGGTGCACTTTCAGATTTAAAACTTTGCAGGATGTTTTCATTCACTTAGAGCTATGTTACACACTACATGAAAGGTCTTTTCAAAAATCCATAATAGAGGCCCTTTAATAGTTTTGTGGAAGTTATGATCATTTTTTTCAGGATTTTTTGATAAATAGAATGTTCAAAATAACAGCATATATTTGACAGAAATCTTTTGTAACATTTTGTTTTTACACTTTTGATCAAATTCATGCATCCTTACTGAATAAAAGTATTAATTTCTTTTAAAATAATAATTACTGACACCAAACTTTTGAACAGTAGTTTATGTAGTTAAGCATGATAGGCTGGTGCATGAAATGGCATATGTCAAAGATCACACTGTTGATCTTTCTTTGTCCTGTAGTTCAAGTGCTGTGGGGTGGATTCTTTTTTAGACTGGTCTAAAAACATGTACTTCAACTCATCAGACCAAAATCCCAGTCTGGAGGCCTACGGAGTGCCCTTCTCCTGCTGCATACGGCTAAAGAATGAGGTCAGGTTGTGTCAAATCCTGAAACACTTAATGTAGATGTCTTCCTTGTGCCATCCATTTTAGTATTTAGTAAATACATTTTTCTTTTTTTACTTATTAAGAAATTTGCTTGAAACACTTGCTTGAAAATGTCTCTTTGACCTAGACTGTTAGAATGTTCAGGATTCAAAATATTATGAACAGCCTTGGTGTCAATTGAAAATTTGCATAGTGAATTTTGATTGGTCTTATTTTGTACATATATTTGCATACTGAATTATTGGTAACAATTTACAATAAGGTTTGTTGAGGTTAACGTTAGTTGACATAGGTTTATGCATTAACTATTACCTAACAATGGCTATATATTTATTACAGAATTGATTCATCTTTGTTTATAAAAATACAACTGTTCATTGTTAGTTCATGTCAGCTCAGGTACATTAAATAATATTAACAGATACACTTCTGATTTTAATAATGTATGAGTAAAGATATAAAATTAACATTAACTAAGATTAATAAATGCTGTAGATGTATTGTTCATTGTTAGTTCATGTTAACAAATGGAACTTTATTTTAAAGTGTTACCGAATTATTAGTAGCAGTCAATCAAAAACCTTTTGTATTTTATATACAGTTATGTGGAGCAGAAGCAAAGAGATTTCATGCAGGGCTACCCACTGTAGTGTGTCAGCGATATAGTAAATTTGTAATTATTTTTAATAAATTAGACAAGCATGAAAAGCTGGCCACTTTCTACACTATAAAGAGTGTCTGTTCATTTATATGTAGACTGTGTTCAACTCTATGTGCGGCTATGAGACCCAAAAGATAAAGAAAAGTGTGGCTAGTCGGCTCATCTACACCACTGGTTGTCTTGATGAGATCGTCTGGTGGGGAAAACAGAACCTTCTGCTGGTCGGAGTGATGACCCTCATCCTACTGTTCCTTGAGGTGAGGCGCACACAAAAAGTCCTTTCAACTTTATTTTAAATGCATGCTTTTAGTAACTTCTCCATGCATGAAATCAGGTCTTGCTGCGTCTTGTTTAAAACAGGCAAGGGAATGTGGGCCTCCTCAAAAATGTACTAAATAAACATATACTTAATTATATTGTTTAAAAGCATGCTACAATCAACTGTTGTTCTTTTTCATCCAATTAGCTTTCAGTATCACTTTAGCATGTCATGCTTGCTTATGGTCAATGTTAAAGGTAGAGAAAGACAGACATATATAAATACATATATACTGTACACATGCGGCTAGAGAGACTCTTTCAAATGCAGCTAAATGTATAAATTTTCACAACAAGAGCCATAAATAGAAATGTGCCACAGTGAAAGAGTGGAGGATGAAATTCTCATTGACTTCCACATGCAGGTGAGTAGATGTGGGCTCTCTGTTGATTTATAGTTTATATTGGTCATAATCTTTACATGTCACTGTGTAATTTGATTTGTTCCATTATTATTTTTTTTATAGCACATCATTCATTTTCAAAATATATTAGGGTGAGATTGTATGTGGGAGAATAAATTTCAGCAAAACACAGATGGTAAATCTTCTACTGTTATTTATTTGTAAACTGTAACAATAGCAAATATTTATTATATAATATATATTTTATTAATACTAACATATAACTACATTAATTTGCTATATTTAATTCCCTCACACAAAGAAATTACACAGAAACAAATGCTTATTTTTAAAATATAGATTGTATAGATGTTACATCCTTCTAGATGTTATGGAATAAAAACTAAAAAGAGTACATTGGGACCCAAAAATCTATTCCCTCAGATTTGCTTCTGATTTGCTCATGCTTCTTAGAACATTCATAAAATCAGGATGACATGGATCATCAGGTTTTGCCCCAAATTGTAAAGTACATACAGCTTGAGTGCCTGCTGTCAGTACAGCAAAAGAGGGCATGCCAAAAGAAATTCCAAAATTCATGCAAACGTTTCTACCCAGTTGTTATTTTGTAGTGAAAAAAATGTGTATTAAAAAAAGCAGTCTTTTGAATCCCACTGTATGTATGAGTTTAAAGAATGAATCTCTTTAAAAAAAAAAAAAAAAAAAACCAACAACAATCTCTTCATACAGGACATAATTATACATGAGCAGCCACATCACATTAAAACCCACATTGAGCCACTACAGTACAACCATATAAACATTATCTCTGACCTTTATCATAACCTGTGGGCATGATACACTACATTCATGTGCAGAAAGACAAAACAAACAAGCTCTTTGCATTGAGGATGATAAATGATTTGTCTGTTCTTCAGATATGTATGATGTCACTGGCTTCAGTACAGCTCTGTCAAATCAGAACCGTTCAACAGAAGAGGAGGAATTCTAACAGGACCCAAAACCTTTGTTGCAACAGAAAGTCTTGACTGGTGTTATACGCCCACTTTTCACCATGTGCTTGCTTTGGAATTCAATGACGCACTGCCATTGAAATACCAAGTTATAACATGTTACAAATTAGATGCAAAGACTGTGATAATTCCCTTTATTATACTGTGAGTTTCTAAGCCAAAAGCTGTGATTAATGAAACCTTATTGTAAAGTGTTACTGATAATATAAATAAACAAAAATGTGTTTGATTGTTTTAGGTTAGTAGTGATTTAGTTTAACTTAACATGAACTAAGAATGAACAATAATTCTACAGCATTTATTAATCTTAGTTAATGTTAATTTCAACATTTACTAATACATTATTAAAATCAAAAGTTGTATTTCTCAACATTAATTAATGCACTGTGAACTAACATGAACAAACAATGGACTTTTTTTATTAACTAACCTTAACAAATATTAATAAATACTGTTACAAATGTATTGTTCATTGTTAGTTCATGTTAGTTAACATGCATTAATTAATGTTAACAATGAAACCTTATTGTAAAGTGTTACCATATCTGTATTGTTAATAAAATATATTTTACAACATGCTGAGTTTGCTGACCTTTACACACCGTTTTACTTTTTGCACAACACTTGTAAAATAGATTAATTACTATAAAAATGGCTAAATAGTATTTATTTTATTATTTTCAAATAATTTATGTAATTACACAGTTATTGTTGCTTAATTGCTATGTAATTACAGAGAGTGTAAAGCCTAATTCTGTACATTAGTGGGGTGCTGGATCGTAAGAGAACGTAGAACGTACTTAGAGGAGAACACACGCGTTAGATGGTTTAGTTTTCATCAAACCGATGCCGATGAAATTGAACTGAGCAGGGTTAAAATCTGGCAGCATGTTGATCTTTGTGTGTGGAGCATTCAGGCTTTTCTCCCGAGAGGTGACTTGGTAATGTGCTCGGAAGTTACAGAGGGGGTTGTATCCAGGTTTGAGGCTGTCTGGACAGCGGAAGCCTTCTTTGATGAAAGATCCGTGCTGGGACACGGCTACAAATCCGTCCTTGTGTGGCATCATCTTTATGACTGGAGAGTAGACGTACTGGATGTATAGCAAACAACCTGTAACGAAATGACCAAAATCAAGCAACTCAAACAAGACATGAAAGACATTTCTGTCAGGACCACTATCGTCAAATACGATTGACAATTAGCATACAGTTTGGATTGGTGGTATGGTTCCGTTCTAGGCAAGAACTGTGAGAGCACAATAACCCCCCTTAGGGTAAACAGAACAGAACCAACATGATGTATTGCAGATATCATTAATTCAAGATTTTAAAATACAACATAATTCGGGAATTTATTCTGATTCAAGGGGAATCAGAAGGCCAAATGCTGACTGGACGAGAGGAGGAGCTGGGGATGGAGGAGGGTAATTCGCTCCTGAGAAACGCGATAGCTGCTGATAATACTGAAGGAGCTTATATATGGATGCTGTGATAGGTGTCGTATTCCTATAGGTAGATGTGGATCAGCTGAGAGTCAGCTGATGCGATCTTGACAAACGTGACCTGCCAGAACTGAGGCTACGCTTGATTATTAGCAAGTTTTACAATTTTAATTGTAAAAAAATGAATATTACAAAAACATTTAGCTGTCACACTGAACAGTCCTCACCACTAGAGACATCCCAGACTTTGATGGTTTTGTCCAAGGATCCAGTGAAGACATATTTATCATTTATTGAGAAGACAGCACAAAGGACGCCTTCAAAATAAAAACCCTTGAGGATGAAAAAAGAACAAAACATTTTAATGTTACACAGCAGTTGTTTATTGGCAGCATTATATGTCACACTGACAAAATAGTTAATTAGTTCTTGTTGACTTGATTTCTAATAAAAATAACACTATAATATAGTTTGTGCCACTTTACAATAACCATGTAATAACTAGGAACTACTGTATACTGTAAAATTAAGTGCCAAACAGGCAAAATGGGAACAGGGAAAATGAAAACAAAACATAATGAAACTAAACAGACTTAAACATAACCCTGACGTATACATTCTCTGAAAACATGTCTTAACTTATTCAGTACTGCTTCCCATGTAAATGTATATTGTTTTAAGAACTCACCTGGAAAATAAGACAAATTTATATTAAAAACTGGATTTTAAAATATATTTTTTTGTAATGTAACACTAAAGTATCTTTAAATGGAGACACACTTTGACAAGTTCAGTGGAAAAAAATGCATTTCAGTCACGTTAATCACAGTGCTGATTGCACACACAATGCTGAAACATATACTAACCCCTAACCTTAACCTTTGTATGTGTTGGTAGCACATCCTGATACAGAGCATTACTGTTTGTCACAGTCAGATCCGTCAGTGATCACATTATGAAAAGGACGTAGCTTAGACCTTGGTGTATGGCTTATAACTGCAGTGATCTTTGTAACTGTAAGCGGGGCGGCCTACGAAACTCCTTGTGAGTCTTGAAGCTGACTTCTGCTGATGAAACTGCAAACTATCTTCAGTAAAACTTTTCTTCAATTTATTATAATTCCGACTCTGGGTCTTCATTCATCATATCTGGTTCTGGGTCTTTGACTGCAAATCCCCTTACACTGTGTTTAAGTTGACCACTGAAATCGAATGTGGGCTGCAGCTTTTTGCTCAACTGGTTTGGGGGGGAAAAATTCTAACAAAACTGAAAAAAATAATATTAAAAACAAATAATTAAATAGACAATTTAAGACCTATTTGTGAGAAGTTTGTACTTTTTTAAGCTTATTTGAGTATCACCCTGTTAGCGTAGCAACATGCTAATAACTTCCAATAAAAACATTGTAAAAAGAGCTAAAATAGACCCAACCACAGGCAAATTATAGTTAAAAAATATTTAAATATACTATTTTACATTGTATTTGTGAGTAGTCTGCATTTTTATGCTTATTCAAGCATCATTCTGTTTGCTTGCAACATGTTAACAACAAACTCAGTTAAAACTAATTGTGAGCAGAGCCAAAAAAGACCAAAACACAGGCAAATTATAGTTTAATAGACTATTTTACCTTGTACCGGTATTCGCCAGTAGTACGTATTTTCTAATGCTTATTCAAGTATCACATTGTTAGTTTAGCAGTAACAATAAACTATTTAAATGAATTGTTAACAGAATAAAAATAGACCCAAACATAGGCAAATTAAATTCCTTGGCTCAATTAAAAAAGCTTAAATCACAGCAAACTTTGAACCCTCACCTTGTACTCCATGGTGTGATTCAGCAAGACGGGACTCAGATTCCACAACTTCTGAACACAGTCTTGAGAGCCAATTAATGCTTGCGTGTCCCAGTTGCTCATGGTGATGCAGGTTATGGCTGCCCCGTGGTGATCCAGCTCGGCTGCCGTGGCGCTTTTAAAATCATAGATTACAACTTCACCACCAAAGGTCCCATAGAGCAGCCTGCAGTCGGACAGCAGAGCCATGGCGGAGATTGGGGAATGCAGTAAGCACAAGGAGTACCTCTCAAATGGGCCGTCCACACAGGGGAAACTGTCCCTTGCTGTAATCTCAAACAGACAGACCGCATCCTCATATGCCACAGCCATTTTGTCCTCCCGCGGGCTGATAGCTATGCTGCGAACTGTCGGTAGGCTTTCTGGAGGTGGCAGGCACAGGGTTTCTTGGGCAAAGTCCAATGGGTAAATAAGGATGGTGCCAGTCCGCAGTCCACAGAAGAGTAGGTTTTTCTGCTGGGCTAATTCCATACAGCACACTTCTGAGGACACGTCCATACTGTCTGTCTGTAGACCTGTGAAACATGTGAATGTGAACTTTGGCAAACTATTTTTTTTTAGGAATGTAATACTTTTAAAGGGATTGTTCACCCAAAAATGAAAATTACTAAACTACTCACCCTCATGTCGTTCCAAAGCCATAAGATTTCCGTTCATCTTCGGAACACAAATGAAGATCTTTTTGATGAAATCTGAGAGCTTTCTGTCTCTCCATTGAAAGCTACACAACTACCACTTTGATGCTTAAACAGTTCACAAAGAGATCATAAAACTAATTCTAATGAATTGAGGGGTTTAGTCCAATTTTTCTGATAAGACAATCGATTTATATGATGAAAAGATTGAATTTAGGCATTTATTCACATATAAACATTGATCAGCGAACATAAAACTCAACCGAACCTGCTTGACGTGCGAGAACAAACCACTTGTGGAAGCTCAAACGTGCTGCGTAACATGAGAATGAACCTCACTGGTTCTTGCAGAAGCTTAAACGTGCTGCGTAACATGAGAATGAACCTCATTGGTTCTTGCAGAAGCTTAAACGTGCTGCGTAACATGAGAATGAACCTCATTGGTTCTTGCAGAAGCTTAAACGTGCTGCGTAACATGAGAATGAACCTCATTGGTTTTTGCTGAAGATGCTTGAGCTTCCGTTTATCTGATGTGTTAGTTGCGGAAACTTTATATGTTACCCAGGGGGCAAAGGGGGTTTAGCAGACATGGGCTGCTGTAAAAGGTTGTCATGTAAAAATGAAATCTATGATGTCTGAGGATCACAACCTGGCTGGACAACCCAGTCAACAAGCTGCTGGAAACTTGTAATTAGGGTCAAAACAATGCTACCTCAAATTCTGCTTTAACTCCCCGGAATCACCCAAACATGCTAAAAAGGTTTAATTATATTCATGAATCCTGAGCCATATCTCCCTGATACTTTATGCTATAAACAAACTATCCTTTCACACCTTTCAAAAGAGTGGAAGATAAGCTTTCATCTGATGCCTTGATTGTACATGTAATTAGAATGTAAGAGTTAACAATACCTCTTAATTCATTGGGTGATTCCGGGGAGTTAACCCTTGTGCTTTGTTCAAATTCACTACCCTTTCGGTATGTTATACAACAGATTTCATAAAAAAAAAATCTTAATTTGTGTTCTGAAGATGAAAGAATGTCTTGGGCTTTGGAACAACATGAGGGCGAGTAATTAATGACAGAATTTTCATTTTTGGGTGAACTAACCCTTTAAGATCTTGCACATAATTACAACAATGAAAACCAATATCCTTTTATTACGTTTCACCTTCTGCACAGCTCCAGGTGAAAACTTCTGTTTTATTTCCCTCTTTGACATAAAATAGAGTATCGCCGTCTTTCGACAGGACCACTAGGGGGCAGTATGCTGGGATGAAACTCTTGCTCCTGTGCTTGGTGTTGTAGTCCAGCTGCCATACTTTGAGCTGGTTGGCAATAACAGAGGCAGAGATAATAGTGCGCTGATGTACAGCCAAAGTGGACACAGCAGAATCCATCACACCGATCCAGTCCAGCAGAGCTCCTGTAGTTACACTCCACACCTTGAAGAGTACAAGATGATCAACTTGCATTCAAGACAATGGCAGTGAGATGAAACTGTACCTGTTTGGGAAGAGAGGGATTAAACTGACCCGTATAATCCGATCCTGGGCACTTGTGATGATTTCGCTACTTTCACTGCTTGAGACCACACATAGGACAGACGCATCATGGTGAAGATCCAGAACCTTCTGCAT